GGTTACATTTTAAATAATTAACCATCCATACTCCAAGGTTAAGAGCTAGTTCTTTTCACTAACTCATTATCTGTGTTCATGTCCTGCTCTTTCAGCCCTTCTGAACTTATACACCATTCTCCTGCCTCCCCTCTCCTCCCAATTATTGTTAACAGGAGTAGTCCCAGAAGATTGGAAGTGAGCGAATGCTGTGCCCATTCACAAGAAAGGTAGTAGGGAGGAGTCGGGCAACTATAGACCAGTAAGCCTTACTTCAATAGTGGGGAAAGTAATGGAAACCATGTTAAAAGATAGCAGGGCCGGACTGGGAGAAAAATTCGGCCCGGGCATTTTTTTAACACAGCGGCCCACTAAAAAGGGGGCGGGGCATAGGAGGTGTGTTTTGTCATCACCAATGACAAACACGCCTCCTCTCAAAGTGAGCATGTTGGTTCAATGCTCTTCCAGGGCAGACCATGCGCAGAGCTCTGCTGAAGAGCTCTAGCATGAGAAAAAAGTCCTGTATTTGTTCTGCACAGTGCAAGCAAATTTAATAACATGCTTGCACTGTGTTTCCTTGCAACTTGTCTCTGGTGTCTTTATAAATGGATACCAGGAGACAAAAGGCCAGGAAAGAGTATTGTGCATGTGTTTGGAGCCTGCTTGTGGTATTGCGTGTGTGTAGAGTGAGCTGGTCGTGGTGTGGTATTGTGTAATAAGGTCGGTTTTAGTCGTGTTGTGTTTGTGGTGTAATGTGATGCATATGTGGCTCAGGGACCCCCTCCCGCCCGGCTCTGGAAAGGGGTTAAAACTTACCTTTTTCCAGCGCCGGGCGGGGAGCTCTCCTCCTCCGATCCGCCCCGTCGGCTGAATGCGCACGCGCGGCAAGAGCTGCGCGCGCATTCAGCCGGTCGCATAGGAAAGCATTTATAATGCTTTCCTATGGACGCTTGCGTGCAAAGCACGCAAGCGCCTCTAGCGGCGGTCAATGAGACAGCTGCTAGAGGCTTTGGGGGAAGGCTTAACCCATTGATAAACATAGCAGTTTTTCTGAAACTGCTATGTTTATAAAACAATGGGTTAACCCTAGAAGGACCTGGCACCAAGACCACTTCATTAAGCTGAAGTGTTCTGGGTGGCTAGAGTGGTCCTTTTAAGAGTGTTGTGTGTGTGTGTGTATATATATATATACACACACACACACACACACACACACACATATATATATTTGGAAGTATTGTGTATGTGTGTGGTGCAGTGTGTTGGGGGGGTTCTGTGTGTATGTGAGGGGTGCAGTATGTGTGTGTGTGAGGGTGCGGTGTGAGAGTGCCGTGTGAGAGTGCCCTGTGTGAGATGGGTGTGAGAGTGCTGTGTGAGAGAGTGCTGTGTGTGTGTGAGAGTGCTCTGTGAGAGTGCTGTGAGTGTGATGGGTGTGAGAGTGCTGTGTGAGAGAATGCTGTGTGTGTGTGAGAGTGCTCTGTGAGAGTGCTGTGTGTGATGGGTGTGAGAGTGCTGTGTGAGAGAGTGCTGTGTGTGTGAGAGAGTGCTCTGTGAGAGAGTGCTGTGTGTGTGATGGGTGTGAGTGTGATGGGTGTGAGAGTGCTGTGTGAGAGAATGCTGTGAGTGTGTGAGAGTGCTCTGTGAGAGTGCTGTGTGTGATGGGTGTGAGAGTGCTGTGTGAGAGAGTGCTGTGTGTGTGTGCTCTGTGAGAGAGTGCTGTGTGTGTGTGCTCTGTGAGAGAGTGCTGTGTGTGAAAGTGCTGTGTGAGAGAGTGCTGTGAGTGTGTGAGAGTGCTGTGTGTGATGGGTGTGAGAGTGCTGTGTGAGAGAGTGCTGTGTGTGTGTGAGAGTGCTCTGTGAGAGTGCTGTGTGTGATGGGTGTGAGAGTGCTCTGTGAGAGAGTGCTGTATGTGTGTGAGAGTGCTCTGTGAGAGAGTGCTGTGTGTGAAAGTGCTGTGTGAGAGAGTGCTGTGAGTGTGATGGGTGTGAGAGTGCTGTGTGTGATGGGTGTGAGAGTGCTGTATAAATGTTATTGTGTGTGTGTGTAGGGGGGGGTAAATAAAAAAAATAAAATAAAAAAAACAGGCATTATGTCCCCCCCTCCCTTCTTACCTTTAGCCTGGGAGGGGGGGTCCGGCACGCGGTGTTCCCTGGTGGTCCTCGTGGGTGAGTGAACTCTAGCCTGTGAGGCTAGAGTTCACTCTCGCGAGATCCGGTCGTTGCCATGGCAACGCGCCAGATCTCGCGAGAGGAACCCGGCGGAGCTGCAAGTTAGAGCTCCGCCGGGTCCTCTCTCCAGCCTGGCTGGCTGTCTCCCTCTCCCCGCCGGCGGCCGCATGTGGGCCGGTCAGGGAGATCCTTGATCTCCCCACCGGCCCGTCGTGACAAACAGCGGGGCCGGCGCTAGGAGAGTGCCGGCCCTGCATAGACCGGCAGGGGAGATCCTGGGACCTCCCCTGCCGGCCTCGGCCCATGGCCATCGCGGCCCACCGGGCATTTGCCCGGTGTGCCCGATGGCCAGTCCGGGCCTGAAAGATAGTATTGTTGAACATCTAAAAATCACATGGATTTCAAGATCAACATGGGTTTACTTCAGGGTGATCGTGCCAAACTAATCTTATTGATTTTTTTGATTGGGTAACTAAAATAATAATCAGGGTCGTACAGTAGACATTGCTTACCTAGATTTCAGTAAGGCTTTTGACACTGTTGCACATAGAAGGCTGATCCAAAAAATGCAATCTTGGGGGGGCGTGGCCTGGAACCCGAGAGTAGCGGCCGCATGTCAGAGTAGCTCTGTGCTACCACGGCCTTTTTAATAGCAAAACAAGCACCACGAGAGAATACACAGCGACCGGAGCCATGTCCCAACAAAAGGGCAGAAGACATACGGAAAGGAGCGACAAAAATAACTTTTTTGCAGCCCAGAATACCCACACGAAATCCGCGGCAATGTCCAAGGACTCTCAAGATGGCGCCCGCGAGGAACACACTGAACTGCAAGGTACAACCGCCATAGATGCCCCAGCAACACCAGGCATAACACAAAAAATGCTAGACGAAATGCACCACAAACTGCAACTCAATGTCCAAACATCCCTGAATGAAATCAAAGCAGAAATAAGGGATCTGGGATCACGCACTTCCACATTGGAAGACAAAATGGTGGACCATGCAGAGGCATACAATGTCATGAGAAATAATAAAAAGGTGGAAAACACCCAGAATACGTGTAGGTTACTATATAAAATATACAACAACCTGATGGAGAGTGAAATCCACATAAATTCTGCATAAAAATCAGAAATCTGACATAGCGTGATACAGTAAAGGAGTTTTAACTTTATAAATATAAATAATTATAGATGCACTCACAAACGCACGTGAAATAGAGCTTCTCGCCCACTCAGGGGCAGCATGTAATCCGATGGATAAATTAAAGAATCACCTGGAAAAAATCTGGTGCTTTAGTTTTGCAGTTTCTATGATCTGCTGAAGACTTACATCTGTCTTCTGTCCGTACTCCCACCTCTGATGCTGCCTTCAAGATTTCTCGAGGGCTGCACCATTCTTGTGGAACTCAGCTCCCTTCTCCGTTAGATGCTAACCCAGTCTCCACTCCTTGTTTAATAGCAACTCTCTGCACTCCAGTGCTCAGTCACCTTGACTGCTATCCTTCTGCACCCCAATGCTCTAAGCCAACCTGCTGCTTCCAACCTACAAAAGAGATTTGTGGTTTTCTTTTGTAGGTTGGAAGCAGCAGGTTGGCTTAGAGCATTGGGGTGCAGAAGGATAGCAGTCAAGGTGACTGAGCACTGGAGTGCAGAGAATTGCTATTAAGAGAGATTTGTGGTTTTCTTTTGTAGGTTGGAAGCAGCAGGTTGGCTTAGAGCATTGGGGTGCAGAAGGATAGCAGTCAAGGTTACTGAGCACTGGAGTGCAGAGAGTTGCTATTAAAAGAGATTTGTGGTTTTCTTTTGTAGGTTGGAAGCAGCAGGTTGGCTTAGAGCATTGGGGTGCAGAAGGATAGCAGTCAAGGTGACTGAGCACTGGAGTGCAGAGAGTTGCTATTAAACAAGGAGTGGAGACTGGGTGAGCATCTAACGGAGAAGGGAGCTGAGTTCCACAGGAATGGTGCAGCCCTCGAGAAATCTTGAAGGCAGCATCAGAGGTGGGAGTACGGACAGAAGACAGATGTAAGTCTTCAGCAGATCATAGAAACTGCAAAACTAAAGCACCAGATTTTTTCCAGGTGATTCTCTAATTTATCCATCGGATTACATGCTGCCCCTGAGTGGGCGAGAAGCTCTATTTCACGTGCGTTTGTGAGTGCATCTATAATTATTTATATTTATAAAGTTAAAACTCCTTTACTGTATCACGCTATGTCAGATTTCTGATTTTTATGCAGAATTCATGTGGATTTCACTCTCCATCAGGTTGTTGTATATTTTATATAGTAACCTACATGTATTCTGGGTGTTTTCCACCTTTTTATTATTTCACATTGTTTCTTGGGTGTCTGTGAGGTACACCTAGGAATTCTTCCAGTTATACGTTTCTATTTTGTAGTGTATACACTATTTTTTGTTCATACAATGTCATGAGAGCTGAAGTAGAAGACATGCATGACAAAATGGTAACCTTTGAAAATAAGCTAGATGATATGGAGGACGGGCTCCAGGCGCAATAATCTAAGGCTGAGAGGGGTGGCGGAATCAGTGAGCACATCGGACCTGCACGCATACCTACAAGGTCTGTTCAAGCCCCTCGCCCAAGACCTCCACCAGGACATGCTGTTGCTGGACCGGTACCACAGGGTCCCCAAACCAAGATTCCTCACATCAGACGCACCACGC